AGTCAGAACATCAGATGATGTATAGCACTGGGCAAATTGGCTGCAAAGGACCTCTTTCAAGTGCTAAAGAGCAAAGATGTCTCCTTGAGGGCTAAGGTGCTAGCCCGACACAAGCCATCATATTTTCAATCGCCTCATGCATGTGAGAGCTGGACAATGAATACGGAAGATCAAAGAAGAATTGATGCTTTTGAGCTATGGTCTTGGCAAATAATGCTGAAAGTACTGTGGACTGCTAAAAGAACTATCAGGTCTGTCCTAGAGGAAATGCAGCCAGAATGCTCCTTGCAGGCGAGAATGGCCAGACTTCGTCTCACATACTTTGGTCATGTTGTCAGAAGGGACCATTCCCTGGAGAAGGATGTCATGCTTGGTAAGGTGGAGGGTCAACCAAAGAGGGGAAAGCCCTCAATGAGATGATTGACATGGTGGCAGCAGCAATGGGCTCAAGTATAGCAAGAATCATGGAGCTGACTCAGGACCAGCCGGTATTTTGTTCTGCTGTGCACAGGGTCGCTATGAGTCGGAGATGACTCGACAGCACCTAACAACAACAACAATTCCAAGTACAGGAATAACGATACTTGCCTCTTCTGTAAGACTTTTAGAACTAGGCTTTTAGATCCAAAGCAACTACCAAGTTCAGCTATAGCTACATGAGCAATTTTGGGTATGTGAGTCATTATATCTATAAGTACAATAGGCTGCTCTTTAGGATTCGACAATCCTACTTCAACTGCTTTCTCTGTCATCAACTCCAGTGGTTTTCATAGGCTTTACCTTAAATAATTAAATAATTTTGGTGGAACAATGGCCCCAAAATAATTACACTGACAGGCCTTTCTTTAGAGGGTGTTTTAACTGGCTCAGAAGATTCACCTTTACAGAATACAAACATGGCAACATCAGTACTTAGTAACTATTGCAGCTCCTTCCTCTATAGATAACAAAGGTCTTGGCAGTGTAAAGTTTAACAGCTGATGAGATAACAATAAATATCCAGAAACTGAATCATGGGCTAAAGAGCATGTGCATTCTGAAAAGCTTATGACCCAGCCTCCATGACTTGGAGACCAGAAGAACTAGATGGTGCCCAGCTACCACTGCTGACTACTCTGGAAGGGATCACAATGAGAGGTCCTAGATAGAGCGGGGAAAAAATTCGGAACAAAACTCAAAATAATAAAAAAGGACTAGGCTTACTGGCCTGATAGGACTGGTGGAACCCCTGAAACTACTGCCATTAGATACTTTTCAGGACTTAAACTAAACTCACTCCTGTGGCTGAACTTCAGCCAAACAATAGAAATGCTTATAAGGTGAACACCAGGGAGGTATGCATTCCTCAGAACAATCAACCATATGAGATCAAAAGGTGTAAAGCTCAGAAGCCAGGAAAGGATAGGACAGAGGACAAATGGAAACAGTAAACACAAGGAGGAAATAGGAAGAGTCCTGTTACATTGTGGGATTGCAATGAATGTTGTAAAACAAAATGTGCCTGAACTGTTGAATGGAAAACCAATTTGCTCTGGAAACTTTCAACCAAATCATAGTAAGTAGTTTTAAAAAAAAAAGAAAAAGAGCTTATTGGAAGCCAACAGGCAGAGTGGCATGGATATCTCCAACCCTGTTTAGCATGGTGAGAATACTCTGGTCACTTTGGTTAAGGGACAGGATCCCCAACATAGAGCTGGGTGTTAACTCTCTTGAAAGACCAAAAATATTTAACCCCAAATCTGGAGCATGAATTTTGCATAACCTTGGACAGAAGGACAAATGGAAACAATAAACACTGGGAAGAAGGCTCTTATTTTGTAGAAATTAGAATCAATGTCAGAAAACAACCAATTTGCCCTACAAACTTTCACCCAAATCACAAAACAAAATACTTTTGATATATATTATCAAGTTACTTTCCAGAAAGATTGTTCCAATTAATTTCCCCACTAGCTATGTATGAGAATAGAATAAATCTTTGTCAGTACTAAGTATTAACATGAAATAAAATTCTTTGCCAACCCAGATGCATTGTCCATTGGTGACAGCTGTTATAACTAGAAACTTAACATGCTGAAATTTAATAGCACAAGATAAAGAGGTGAAAGTATGAATACTCAGTAACTTATTTCTATTTAAATATATATATATCCTGTTTCACTGTGCATCTTTTCAACAACAAAATAAACAGAATTTAAAGAAAAAAATATGTATCTCTATATAGAGAGATATAGGTCAATACTGTTGCAAATGCATCATCTTTCAGCTACAACATGGGTCAAATATAAATAGGATTTTGTAAGCTAGTCCAAGTATCTAACCGCCATTTTAAGTTTCTAATGCAAAATGTAATTTAACTCAAAATCTTTAGAATGCAAGCTTCCTGAATTTTTAAAAATAAAAAGTATGGTAAAATTGAATTTTTAATGTAAAATATATTCCAAAATCATGTAAATAACAAAGTACTTTATTTTTAAAAATTAGTTCTAAATCACCTACTTCATTAAAAAAATAATAAATAAGTTACAGGATTTATTTTGTCCCTTTTGGTCACATGCTGCTTTGTAATGTTTTTCAGGTAACTGAAATACAGAGGTTTCAGCTATAACATCTTATACAAATCCCTGAAAAAATCCTGAGTTCTGCAAAAACACACAGTACTAACAGCTTATGGAAAAAAGCTTTAGGGACTGACCACTCAAAACTTACACAACTTTGGAACCAGAGTCCTAAAAACAATAACCATTACTTCTGGAGAGCCACTCAAGGCTAGGGTAGTGGGGTAGAGGGAATAGTATGCTGGCAAATGTTTAACTACTGGTCATATCCCATATCTATTAAATCAGAATTTTTTGTAATTCTTCCACTAATTCCAATGTGTAGCCAAGTTTAAGAACCACTGCACCAGTACAAATGAATGAAAAAGTCACTCAATGAGAATAAATGCCACATATTTTCCCCTGACCACTGTCTGTACTCCTTCCTTTTATCTTTGTATTTCTAATTCCTAATACCTAGAAATTAAATTGTTGTTGTTGTTATGTGCCGTCGAGTCAAACCCGACTCATAGCGACCCCTCCTTGGGTTTCCGAGGCAGTATCACTATGGAAGTAGGACTGCCCAACCTTCCTTCTGAGGAGTGGCTGGTGGGTTTGAACCACCAGCCGTCTGGTTAGCAGGCAAGTGTCTTAGCCACTATGCTACCAGAGCTCCGACGGCAAACAACAACACAACAACAGAAATTAAAAGGCTATTGTAATTCTTATAAATCATACTTGAATAATTATAAAAGATGCATTACTTAATTGTACAGCATGTTAATATGACTGACAAATATTATAAAGGCATTTTTACTGTGATGTTTGAAAATAACTGCTGAAAATTTTGGAGTTTTCAAATTCTAAAATGATAAAAAGCCAAAGGCTTCTGGAAGTATGTGTGAGCAAAGGAAAAATTCTATGATTCTGGGCAAAAAGTGAAGCCTCTATTTTGAAATAAGTACACACTCACAGGAAGTTATAAAATAGTAGCACTGTATATTCCCTTTACCCAGCTTCCCTGAATGAGGACATCTGATGTAATAGTCATACAGTATCAAAATCAGGACTTGACACTGGATACCTTACTGTTACTCAGACTACAGATTTTATTTAGTTTTCATTAACTAAAACATTGGGGGTGGGGTGACAGTTATTTTAAAATTAGTATTTACATAACATAAAATCCACCATTTAAACCATTTTAAAGTGTACAATTCAGTGGCTTTCAGTACACCTAACAATAGTGTGCATTCATCACCACTATCTAATTAGATAACATTTTCATTACCCCCAAAATAAACCCTATATCCCTTAAAAGGGATTAAGGGCTTTTACAGACACTATGTTGGGTTCTCATAGAGTTTGCTATACATAAATAAAACTTATTAGTCTTAAAGAGGACCTCAACTGTTCTTTGAACAGAAATGGTGCTGATCTTGGATCTGTTTTTACGCTCTTTGCTAGGAAGGAGAAGGCCTTACCAAGGAAGTTCTCTGTATTTGAGAATTGATATTTTTTCTATACTGTCATTTGTACTCTGAAAAGTGTCTTCAATTCTTAAGATTAAACATTTTGAATTTCAAATTCTCTTAGCTGATCATATACCTAAATCTGATTATGTAGGTTTGCATGCATAAAATAGATCACATTTTAAAATTTATTTTGCTGTTGTTAAGAATACACACAGCAAAAGCAAAACATACACCAATTCAACAGTTTTTACACGTATAATTCAGTGACACTGGCTACATTCATCAAGTTCTGCAACCATTCTCATCCTCCTTTTCTCAGTTGTTCCTCCACCATTAATATAAATACACTGACCTGTAAGGCTCCTATCTAATCTTTGGAGTTGCTGTTGTCAATCTGATATCATACAGATAGTTCTTCAAAGAGCATAATGCTCAAGGCTGAGATTTTTCTTACTAGTTAAGCTAAACTAATGTTGGGTTTTAAGAAGATTTTAGGACATATTTTTGGTTTAAGGTTTAAAGATTATCTCAGGCAATAGTTTCAGGGGTTCATCTAGCGCCCACGGCTCTAAGAAAGTCTGGAGTCCATGAGAATTTGAAATTGTGTTCTACATTTTCCAAAAATTAATTTTTTATAGACATATTTCACTAGAAAATTTTTCAGTGGGGGGGATAGCTCTGCTTTTATATCCAACCTGATAATCATGATCCTGGCTTAATTTGGTTAAGCCTATTTGGGGAACAGGGTAAAGAGAAGCTTGGGTTATAGAGTTGAGGGACTGAACACATTTCCTTAATCTAAACTTACACAAGAAATTTCAATAACCTACTAAGGAATAAAAATTAAAAGACAGAAATCATATTTTGTTTTATAACAGAATGTTGATAAACAATTAATACTTATGTTTGAAAAAAAGTAATTCTGTGAACCAATCCAGTTACACCGAACTTAAACTGCAAAGTTCAATACATTATCTCTATTAGTAAACTTCTGGTTAGTTACTTCTACCCAGCACCACTGCTCTTTGTATCAAGGCTATGAAATAGATAATTTGAAAAAAATGTATTACTGTAATAACCTATCACTTACAGACATACAACAATAACGAAGATAGGTCATTCTGTTTTTCGGGTTTTTTTTTAAAGCTTACCTCTTTATAGCACTTCTCTACAATTTCGTAACTGGCATTACCCCACACTGTTATGTGTTCTCGTTTATACTGTTTCACCAATTCTGAAACCTACAAGTGAAAATCCAAAATTTAATGCATGTATCTGTTAATCCATTTACATTATTTCACTCTAACAACAACTTACAATTCACTATCTGCCAGTGGACAGTCTAAAATTTTAGAAGAACCTCTATGTAAATTCAGATTACTTTATAAAATACAAGGAATTATTAACATTTTGCCATTATACAATTTGATAGTATACAACTATTTGAGAATCTGACATTAACTACAAATGAAACAAGTTAAACAAGAAGTTAATTATGTAAATGCCAGTATGATTGGTTCACTTTTCTCCATGACTAAGACCTGACAACCTTCTGAAAACAGGCTCTCCTACAGTAAAGTGATCTCTTTCTTCTACCAGGGTATTATTTAAAACAATACTGATCTCTCCAGTATCGCATTTCCTTCACCACTGTCAATCTATGCAGTCACCTATTCTAGCCTTATTTAGTTGATGAAAACTGGTGCAACACACCCAGAGGAGGCAATGCCTTAAGTACCTTCTTAATCAGCATATTGTTGTTGACTTTGATATCGATGTTAATAGGAGTGTTAGGAAAGGCCTCAAAAACTTCTTTCAGTAATGGAATTCGGTTATCTTTTCCTTCACAGTGGCATGCTGAGAAAGCAAGATTTTAAATGTATTTTTAAAAGATAACTTATTTTTTTGATGATTAGAAAAGCTATAGGATATTTAGAAAAGTTGTAGGACATTTACAAAATGATGAAAAGTATATAAAAGAAAAATCATCCAAAATCCCACAACTTGGACATAACCATGGAGACTATTTGGTACAATTCCTGTCCTCTTTTTTTCTTATGCATAATTTAATACAGTTGTAATATAGTGTGTCTACAAATTTTAACCTGATTTTTTTCACTTAAGTAAAAACAAATACTTACAAGCTGATACACTGGTTTCTGCCACTTATAATCTGAAAAATCTGAACATAATATTCTAGTTCTTCTCTGCTCGATATAGTAGCCACTAGCCACATGAAAAAACAATTACCGTCAAGTCAATTCTGACTCATGGCAACCTCAAGTGTGTCGGACTAGAACCATGCTTCACGGAGTTTTCAATGGCTGATGTTTCAGAAGAAGATCACTGGTCACTCTCCCAAGGCATGTGTGGGTGAGCTGGCACCTCCAACTTTTTGGTTAGGAGCAAGTGTGTGAACCATTTGAACTTTCAGGGGAGTATTATAAATAGACACATGGGGCTATTTAAGTTGATATTAATTAAAATTAAATAAACTTTAAAATTCAGTTACTTGACTGCACTAGCAACATTTCAAGGACTAAGTAGCCATGTGTTGTTGCTATTGGCTACTGTATTGCCTGGTCCAGATACAGACCATTTCCATCACTGCAGAAAGTTCTATTGGACAGCACTGTTGTAGTTACATAAAAAATTTTTTATTAGCATCTAAATGTGAAAAAAATTAATTTAGAACCAAAGAGAATTGCCATGGGACAATACCTATTCACACTCAATTAAAATGTATGCAAGAAACTTAGAAAACACTCAAACAGAACCAACTTTGGAGCAGTAAAATGACATATTATGCAATAAGAATGATACTGCATCACCAGAAGAACTAGATAGTGCTTGGCTACCACTGTCAACCACTCACTTGGAAAGGGATCAGAGCAGGAGATATGGATAGAGTGGGAGAACAATGTGGAACAAAATTCAAAATCATTTAAAAAAAAAAAAAAAGGTTTACTAGTCTGTAGAGCATGGTGAGACACCCCCTCCCCCAGACTATGGCCCCTAGCTACCCTTCAAGCCTGGAATTGAACTCATTGCCATGGCTTCCAGCCAAATAACAGGCATACTGGGTAAACATTTACAGCAAACAGATACACTCCTTAGAACAATCAATCATGGGAGAACAGAGGGCAGTATCTGTACAAGAAGGTTGCTAGGGGGCAGGAATGCATAGGAAAGAAGGACATAGGGAAGAGGTAAATACAGGGAGGATGTGGGCAGAGAGCTGTTACATCGTAGGGATTGCAGTCAATGTCATGAAACAAAATGTGTATGAACTGCTGTATTGGATAATGAATTTGATCTGTAAACTTTCACACAAATCACAATTTAAAAAAGAATAGAAAAGAGTAAGACTGCACCTACTAATGGGAAAACAAGACAATTAAAATGTGTGCTAAGAAAAAAAAATGTGTGCTACAGAGATGTGAAGATATTTAAATTAGATGCCTGAACTCGATGGGGTATAGAAAAGAGTTGGAAAAACAGAAGTTTGTCTCCAGTAGTGTTCTGGGCAGGAAATAACCAGCTGGGAAATGGGGGACTACAAAAAGGAAAGAGGGAAAAATGCAGAAAAACAGGAATGACAGTCAAGGAGTGTGTCATAGGACTGACCGGGTGATGGAATGTACGAAGTGGCCCCTACAGCATGTTAGAACTTTAAAACTGATAATCACAGTCAACTCTAGATTATTCAAATTATGTATTTTCCATGACAAAAGGCTACTTTGAAGTAAGATAGATAATAACAAACTTTTTAGTTAACATATTTTTATATTCCTTCTTTACACTTACTTTTTAAAGTAGCATGTGGCCCACCAAACAACCTTTTAAAAGAGAACACTTAATTACTTCTCTATTAAAATTGTGAACCACAAAGAGAGCAAGAGGCCTGAAAAATGTATTCTTCTAAAAACTGATAGTCTCTCTCTCCAGTGTTTAAAGAAAAGCAAGGAAGAGTTCTAGGCAGGGGAGTAGAGTGAAAAAATGTAACTTTCTGACTAATACAAGTTTTTACAGTAGGAAGACTGGATAATCTACTTCCGTAGAGATACTGCCTCAGAAACCCAAGGAGGGGTCGCTATGAGTCAGAACCCAATTGACGGCAGTGATTTTTTTTATATACATATAGTGTATAAATATATATATACACACACACACACACACACACTATATGTATATAAATTACAAAATGATGAAAAGTATATAAAAGAAAAATCATCCAAAATCCCACAACTTGGACATAACCATGGAGACTATTACACTCATAGTGACCCTATAGGGTAGCATAGTGGCTAAGACACTTGCCTGCTAACCAGACGGCTGGCGGTTCAAACCCACCAGCCACTCCTCGGAAGGAAGGCTGGGCAATCCTACTTCCGTAGTGATACTGCCTCGGAAACCCAAGGAGGGGTCGCTATGAGTCGGGGCCGACTCGACGGCACATAACAACAACAACAACAACATATATATAGGTCTGTTTCAAATGCATTAAACTTAATATTTGAGGCACAGTTATGAACTAAATGAAGTATGAATGAAAGTTTATACTCTTTATTGTTGTCTGAAATTTGAAGAGGACAAGTTATTGCTATCACTATGGCATCTGACAGGACTGTTCAGACAGAGAAGCAGTATGGTGTAGCTGAACATTGGCCTTGGGAGGAGGAGGCCTAGTTTCAAATCTTAGTTCTGTCATTTACTTGTTATATCATTTTGATCAAGTGATTTGCATCTTTAGGCCTCAGTTTACTTATCATTAACAGGAAGAGACACGATTAGATGATCTTAAAGGTCTCTTCACATTCAAAAGTTTTATGACTTTATGAGGGAGATATAAAATCAGCAATAAATTAAAATGGATTTCTTTCCTCAAAGGATATTTTAATCTTTGTGGGCTTTGGTTCTATTGTATAAAGGAACAAGTATGAAAATCTTCACTTCATGTCTACAACTGACACAAATACCAAGATTGCTTAGCAAGTATAATCCTATTAATTACAAAAAATGAAAAAACTGTTTCCTTAAACCAACACAGCTTAATGACACTTACCTAGATGGGTGTTTTACACCCACCAGACTTAAGAGCTCCTAAACATACTTTAGAGATAGATAATTTAAACAATTTTCTGATTTTTATTTGGCTTTCTAAAGTTTTCCTATCAAGAAGAATTGCAATGCCCAACTTTAAACCTAATTCATTGAGCAGTTAGTTCATTTCGAAAATTAGTAATGAGATTCTTGACATTTAAGCCAGGTTTCAACTATTTATTTGCAAGCCATACCAAAGTCCATGACATGTAGAGTATTTTATAGTTTTAATGAGGTATTCATCTGAATTACTCATAACGTGAGGCTGATTTGTGTTATGATACAAATATACTTGCTCAACACCTGCATCTCAAGGTGACATCTTTTCTACTCCAATCTGCAGTAACTAATGAACTGGGGCAAGGGGCATGTACTTTTGTGAGAAATGTTTCTTTAAAAGAAAAAATTGCTATTTTGGTGATTAAAAAGTGAAGATGACTAGGAAATGGATGGTTTATTTGAGTAACAGAACTATAAACGTAAAATACAGAGCAGCTAAATGACAGAACCAAATGTTATGGAATCAGTAACCATCTGAAAAGGATCCTTTTTAATCCTTTTTATTTATGAGAGAAGATTATTACACGTTAGAGCAGTATTTAGAATGTGAAGCTTCAAAGTATCCCTAATTTTGGGGTTTCTTATTATAATTAGTACTCAGGTTTAAATTAACCGTACGTGAACATAACAAAATGAGTCAGTTAAATCTTTGGGCATGATCATCTCAGGGTCGGATGACCATCAAGGTATCAGATTTGAAGAGCTGAGAGAGCAAGCTTTGAATGCAGTACTTTTAGCCAGAACTTATTATGACAAAAGAACATACATGTACATCGGCTTCTCAACATAAATACATTTTAATGTATATGTTCAAGATGAAAACGGGAACTATTACCTCTTTGAAATGTGACATCCAATTTGCCAAGGTAAGGTGGGAGCTCCTTTAAAAGATATAATTAAAAGAAGTTAGCTCCTCCAAAATAAAAGTATTTTAGTGCCTTACATTAAGACAGAAAGTAAACGTTTGCTTCTTCAAAACATAAAAGAACACTACGTATGTTTACACAGAAAAACTAAACTCACCGCCGCCAAGTCGGACCCGACTCATAGCAACCCCTCCTTGGGTTTCCGAGGCAGTAACACTACTGAAGTAGATTAGATTGCCCAATCTTCCTTCTGAGGAGTGGCTGGTGGGATTGAACCACCAGCCTTCTGGTTAGTAGTCAAATGTCTTAGGCACTATGCCACCGCTTCCCTACCCACCTCTACCTCCTTCCCACCCCCACCCTCACCCCCCACCATGGAGACTATTACACTCATAGTGACCCTATAGGACACTATGTAGAATTGCACCATAGGGTTTCCAAGGCTGTAACTCTTTACATAAGCAGACTGCCATATCTTTCTCCTGGAGCAGCTGGTGGGTTCAAACCACCGAACACTCAGCAGCCAAGTGCTTTAACCACTGTGCCACCAGGGCACCTTAGAACCTCCCCAGTAGCAAATTATTCCCTGTAATTACGTACTTCTATCACCTACAAGAAAAAGAATTCTGTTCTTTACACAAAAATTTAGTAGACAAATGTCAAGAACAGATAATTCAAAGAAAAAGAATTATTATCATAGAGAAAAATCTTAAATTCACTTATATGTAAAGAAATTCATATTAAAATTTCATCTAGCAAAGTAGCAAAATATTGGTATAATTATAATATTCAATCGTGGCAAAGGTACAGCAAATGGGAATTCTTCTAACATGTCAAATATTAGAATTCACTTAAACTCTTTTAAGCTGGTAATAGCAACTTGCATTACATATTAAAAGACACTATAATATTCCTAATCTTTTATGCAATAATTTCCTTTCTGAGAGTTTATTTAAGGAATTAGTTTTCAATACAGACAAAACTTCATATAAATACCTTAAAAATCCTTTTATATATGTATTTATAAATATATTTTTAAGAATAACTTTATATAAATATCTAAATATAAATATCCAAAAACCAAACCAAACTCACTGACGATGACTTGAACCCAACTCATAGTGACCCCTCCTTGGGTTTCAGAGGCGGTATCACTACAGAAGTAGATTGCCCAACCTTCCTTCTGAGGAGTGGCTGGTGGGTTTGAACCGCCAACCTTCTGGTCAGCAGTCAAATGCCTTAGGCACTATGCTACCAGAGCTCCTAAATATAAACATAGAGAAACTTTATCTTTACACACAAAGATGTTCAGTATAGTGTTCTAAATTAAAATTTAGAACCAATCCAAAAGTCTAACAACAGAAAAATGGTTAAAAGTAACAGCATATTCACTCAATGAAATGATAAGCAGTCATTTCAAATGTCTATGAAAGTAGGACAAAAGCCTTTCATACTATACAAAACAATATATATAACCGTGAGATCACAGCTACGTAAAAAACACACAGTTTTGTTAAAACATTTCTTTTTTTAAGTGTTAAATTAGGCATAATTTTTCCCTCTATTTTTCAGAATGTTCTATAATAAGCATGTAAACCATTATAACCATTATAACATTCCCATGCTTGGACTAAAACTAATTCATATCTTTAATATGAATCTAATAAACTGTAGACTATTTCAAGTAAGTTGAATTCCAGTAGTTTTATATTTGAAGAATTTGGCAATTTTATTGAAATATTTATATAAGCAAGTCCCCACAGACGTGTTTCTATATAATATGAATCCTCACTAGAAAGTGAGAATAGTTTTTTAAAAAAATGTTTTGACATTTCTTATTTAATCATTATTAATTTTTTAAAATTCTTATTGAGTCAACATCCGGCATTGATCGTTCTTCAGAATTTCAGAGGCCCAGAGCTTGATATCATTCATTTTTACTTACACAGTACTTGAGATCAGAGATGTTTACATTGACTCCAGTTGATCTCTTTAGATTCTCATCATGTGATACTACAACTTGTTCATCTTTTGTGATATGGCAGTCCAATTCCAGCATATCAGTTCCAATTGTAACTGCACTGGAGAAATAAAAAGAAGAATGAGAAACATAGCAATAATTCTGAAACATAAGTAAGCATTTAGGTTACATGCATCAGAATGAAAAAATTTGGAGCTGCAAAACAAAACAGCAAAAAAATCATCATAATAAAATAGCTCCTTAATACTGACATCTATTATAATTTGTTGTTGTATACCATCGAGTCAATTCCAACTCATATGACCCTATATGAAAGAGCAGAACTGCTCCATAGGGTTTCCTAAGCTGTAATCTGTACAGGAGCAGATTGCCATGTCTTTTCTCCTTCAGAGCCACTGGGTAGTTTCCAACTTCTCATCTTTCAGTTAGCAGCCCATACTTAACCACTGTACTACCAAACAAACAAAAAAAAACCTCACTACCATCAAGTCGATTTCGACTCTTAGCAACACCCACTGGGTTTCCAAGGCTGTAAATCTTTACAGAAGCAGACTGCCTCATTTTTCTTCCACAGAGCAGCCAGTGGGTTCAAACCACTAACTTTTTAGCAGGCAATTCCTTAACCACTATACCACCAGAGCTCCTTATTGTACCACTGCTGTTGTTGTTGTTGTTGTTATGTGCCATCAAGTCGGCCCCGACTCATAGCGACCCCTCCTTGGGTTTCCAAGGCAGTATCACTATGGAAGTAGGATTGCCCAACCTTCGTTCCGAGGAGTGGCTGGTGGGTTTGAACCGCCAGCCTTCTGGTTAGCAGTCAAGTGCTTTAGCCACTATGCTACCAGAGCTCCTATTGTACCACTAGGGCTCCTTTATTACGGTTTATTGATATGAAAATACAGATAGTCTTAACTAACAAACATATTCAAGTTATGATAAACTGCACTTACAATCATGCTTTTTTCTTTTGAACTTATCATACATACAATATTGCAGCGAGTAATTTGTCAATGTTATCACTCTCAGATGTAGTATTTCTAACTCCCAAAGACAAATGAAGATTGGACATATAAAGATACTGATAATAAAAAACCCAAAAACCAAACCCAGTGCCATCGAGTAGATTCCAACTCATAGCAACACCCATTGGGTTTTGGAGGCAGCAAATCTTTACAGAAGTAGATTGCTCCATCTTCCTTCCATGGAGTGTCTGGTAGGGTATAAACTGCCAAACTTCTGGTTAGCGGTCAAATGTCTTAGGCCCTGTGCCACCAGAGCTTCTTACTGATGATAAAAGGCAATAATAAAGAAAACTAACTAAATGAAAAATGAGGTATTTAACTTCAGAACCAACTTAAAGCAGAGTAGTCGTTGGAATGTAACCCCATTAAGTCAGGGACTACTTTTGCTTTAAATTTAGAATAAGAGAATCACGTTGCCTCATTTCCATAAGCAGTTATCGTTAATTCTGACAAGCCAATATAATGAAAAGAAGACTGGACATATAATGGAAAAAGCATCAGACCAGAAGTTATGATGCCAGTTCCTGCTTTGCTTTAGGTGCTAGTTTCTGCTTTCGTATGAACTTGATATATGACTTTGGGCAAGTAAATTCCGCTCTCTGGGCCTACATTTTCACATCTATACAAAGATTATCTCCACGGTTCCTTCTACTTCTGAGATTCTATGACTTTTAAGGAGGGTATAGCATTGATTAAGAGTACACACTCTCATGCCGGATTGCCTGCTTTCAAATCCTGTGTCTACTACTTCAGCAAGTTATTTAATTTCTTTATGCCTCAGTTTCCTTATTTGTGAAAAAGTGATGATGATAATAGTTCCCTACACCTCCTCCCTACCTTGTGTTTGACACTCTAAGCAGCCCAATGCTCATTGTGGTCCACCTACCCTCCTACTTCTCCTAATATACCCCTACCCCTCACCATCAGTATCCTAATCTCTACCGGACATTAGAGGAAAACAAACAAAAGACACAGGTCCTTAATACTAAGCTGCAAATGATAAAATCATTAGTTTTATGTGTTTTCTTCTAAAGGATATCTACCTTTAAAAGAGAACACTTGTTTGCTAATTTTGTGTTTACTAATATCACAAATAAATAAAAATAAAGTCTAAAATAAAATATTCAAACAAAGATAGTCTTCAGGTTAGTAGATTATTTTTCTGAATTTTTAAGTTTTCTTAAATAATATTGTGCTTAATTTTCAAAAAGAATAAGAAATGTAGAAACTGTAAGCAACATATATAACCAGAAAAAAGCTTTAAGACAAAATCCTGAGAACCACATATAGTGAAGGAGCTCTGGGGTGAAGTGTTTAAGGCATTTGGCTACTAACCAAAAGGAGTGGTTCAGCTGCTCCACAGAAGAAAGATAAAGTAGTCTGCTTCCATAAAGATTTACAGCCTTAGAAACAGTGGGGTCACTATGAGTTGAAATCAAGTCAATGGCACTGAGTTTGGTTTGCTTTGGTTTTATTTAGTTAAAATAATAATAAAAATGTTCATTAATTTTTGGCCATGAGTTTATAATTACTTTTTTTGGGGGGGGGTAAATGTATATGGAGAATAAAAACAGAGGTTATCTATATTTCCCTGTAGTAAAACACACACACACACACACACACACACACACACTTGACCTAAGAAATCTAAGTATGAAGTTTGCTGCTAGCTGAAATGGTGACTATTTTTAGAAATATTCAAGAATTATATGACAAATATTATCTACTTATTATATGTTTCTCTCTTATTAACATGGAAATAAATAAAAATTCAGAGTATCTGTAAGTATATTCAAGAAAAATTTATAAATTATCTTAGTAAAATTACCCCAATGTAAATGGCTAGCTATGTAAATAGCTAGAGTATAATGGGAACTGAAAAATCTTTTTATCATTTTGGCCTTCAAATTTTTCTATAAATAACATACATTTACTTCAATTGAAACATTAGATATTCTGCAGCTGAGCTTCTGACAAGGTGATGACAGAAAAGGGAAGCCAAGGCTTGTGAATTTCCAAAAAGAGCAAAACAAAACAAAAACTCTAGCTCTAAAAGATGTGTAAAGTACCTAAAACTCCACAGAAACATTATCTAACAACTTACAACAGACCCTATGCTCAAGAATTTGAGTCTCGTTTAATCCTTCTAACACTGAGGTTGTATTATTATTTCCATTCCATAGATGAGAAAACTACTATCGTATTAACTAGATATGTTTAAAAATTTATCATGAAAACCAGGTCACTGTTTAATTGCTTTGGCTGTCTGCCAACTTGTACTTCCAGCTATTACTAATACAATTTGCTTCTTTCTCTTACCATTCATGTTAAAACCATAGGGATCTAACTGTCCTATGGGTATTTATAAAAGTGGCCTGTTTTAATAACCTAGTTCTATTAGCTCTTAGAGAGCTCTGGTAGCATAGTGCCTAAGGCACTTGACTGCTAACCAGAAGGCTGGTGGTTCAAACCCACCAGCCACTCCTTAGAAGGAAGGTTGGGCAATCTACTTCTGTAGTGATACTGCCTCAGAAACCCAAGGAGGGGTTGCAATGAGTTGGGTCCGACTCGACGGCACATAACAACAACATAATAAGCTCTTAAGAACCCGATTTTAAGTACTCAAGGGCTTAGCAACTCTGTGTGTGTGTGTGCATGTATGTTTTACAATTCCTTATTTTTAGCTCTATGCTTATTATGAAGAGGGTTCTGTCCCCTTCATCTCTCTTCTGCTAATATCCTGCTTTGTTCTTGAGTGCCTCACTCCGTATCTCATTCAATAAGCAATTCATAAGGGCTTACTAGTGTCAGATCTTGAGCCAGATGTTAGGAATTGAGAGATGAAAAATATTTATGATCCTGAGGAATTAAAGATGTGAAAATGTGAAAGCATTTTATAAACCACATTGAAGCACTTTTAATACAATTATGAGATGCAACTTGTTCTGGTTACCTAGTGCCGCTCTGCAGAAATATACCACAAATGGGTTGGTCTTAACAAACAGGAGTTTATTTTTACAATTTGGAGGGTTTAAGTCCAAGTTCAAAGTGCCAGTTTCTAGGGACTGGGTGAAAGCCCCTCAACCTTGGGGTCCAGCTCTGCCTTCTGCTCCTGGCCCACTGGAGCTAGAGGCATTTCTTCACTCAGACAGCTGCTGGCTGCTGAGGCTGAGAAGCCCCAAGGTTGACAAGTAAAAAGGCACAGTCCTGATGTTACCAAACCACACAGCAGGCCATTAACTTCAGCCCATTGTAAGTCCCAAGGTCAGCAGAGCATAGCAGGCTGCTGAGCAATAACATGGCTACATGCAGGGTCCAAGCGTGCCAAAAGCTAGAGACCACTCTCAAAGCTTCTCCTTCTATACAGGAAGCAGACCACATACCCAAAGGCAGGTACCCAGCTGCTCGTGGTAGATCCCACCATGGAGCTGATTCCAAGTCTCCTCATGGGGATTAACTACCACCAGCTGCCCAGCCACTCAACCAGGCCCAGCCAAGTTGACACACAAACCAAACTACCACACAACTAATTCTCTTTGTCAGTCCTAATTACTTCTTTAGCCTCACTATAATGTGACGAATTAATTTTCCATATATTCCTAAGGCCCTTTCAATTTCTTAGACACATCTTGTCCATATTGCATCAGTTTTTGGTAAATATGAAAGCAACAAAGCATTTGTCATTTCAACATTCTTCACATGTACAATTTAATGATATTGTGTTGTTAGTGTCACATCTTTATCTCAAACATTTCACATTTTTAAAGAACCTTCTTCCTACCAAATGTTAGCTGTTATGGACTGAATCATGTCCCAAAATATTTGTATTAAAGATCCAGTCCTATACTTGTAGATGTGATCCTGGTTGGAAAGGATTTTTTTTATTACATTAATGAGATTACAGGATATAGAACCCCTTTGTAGTGATTTGGCCTATGGTTCTGTGTGTTTCTGAGAGTAGGACAACTGAGGCCAGTGAGTGAGGACCAAACCAACTAAGAGAGATCACCTGGAAGTCAATGCTACCTAAGCCTCAGAAGGTGTGGTGAGACCTGACTGCTTACCTATGTGGCATGCC